TGCGAGAGCCTGTCCGCACTCGCACGGCCCTGGGCTCCCATCACAGGTACCCTCAGGTCCCCAATATGCTCTCCCGCCACAGCTGTTCCTCTGACCCTCGGCCTGTGCCCACACAGCCTGCCCTTCCCTCCCCGTCCTGGGCTGGCATGGCCACGTGCCTCTCCCCAGGACTGTGATTGCTCAGGGAGGGGCGGCCGCCTGATGTGGACGGGTCCCTGGGGCAGGAGGAGGTGAGCGGTCTCAGCCTCCGTTACTCTCAGGGCCAGCTCCTCCCACCAGGCCCCTCGGCCGGGGCTGTCAGCCAGCCTCTGTCCTCCTGGCGCACGTAGACCAGCGCTCTGGGTGAAGGCAAGGCTAACCTGCGGCTGCCACCCGGTCCTTTCACGTCCCAGGCCTTGTGGCTGCAGTGACACCCGTGCTAGCCCTGGGCCTCCCTGGGCCGCAGAAGACGTTCAGGGGTGTTGGGCAGCCCAAGAGTGCCCAGCGAGCCGCAGCTGTCAGCACCAGCTGTTCAGGTCCCGGGTGCAGCGGGAGGGAGGCCGCCAGGGCCTCAGAGGCCGGATCCACTGCCCATGGGGGGTTAGCGCTCTGGACGCCTCCCCTGCCGTCGGGAGGTCACAGGGCTGTGGCGACGGGACAGGAGTCAGGCTGAGCCTGCCTCCCTCCAGTGCTCAAGGCCATGGGCAAAAGTGAGAGGCCCCACTGTGGGCAAATGGCGGCCCACTGGCCCTTCAGCCCTCGCCCGCAAGGGGAGGCGCCAGGACAGGGGCGCTGGCTTCTGCCCCTTCCTCCTGCCTGGCTGCCCTCTCAGCTGGCATGGGCTTGTCGGGAGCACCCGCCCCTGGGAGGGCCTCGCCTGCCCGCCATCCCCGCACCGGCTCCCTTTTGAATGGTCACCTCCGTCTAAATCTGAGTGACCTGGTTTCTCTTTTTTTTTCACTTGTGAGAAAGTTCACGTATACAAGAGGACGTAGCACTCATGTTCGTTTTATAGAGTTGACCACACTTACGTCCTGTGACATCATTGGGGCCCGTGTCCCCCGTGTGGTAGCTACCATTCCGACTTGCCCTCATCCCACCTGTGGCCTTGGTGCTGGCCAGTCCCCAGACGAGGCCCTTCTAGAATCCTCTGTAGACCCGAGGTGGCTGGGGCCACCCCTAGGCCGTCTCCCCTTGTGCTGCCTCAGCCCTCGTGGCAGCCCCGAGGCGTCCTGGCCAGCAGGCGGCGGGCCGCGTCCAGCGTGAGCTGTGCCTTTCGGTACATTGAGCTGGAGGGAAGAAATAGGTGCACAGCGGGACTGGCCCAGAGCCTTCATGCCGGGCTGGCGTGCACTCCTGCACCCTGGGTGGACGTGGTCGGGGTGGCCGGGCAGCCAGCAAGGGGTGTTGGCGGGCGGATGGCGGCAGGCAGTGGCTCAATGCGGACCTGGGCAGGTGGCCACCCCCTGCCCTCATTCCAGCCCTGCCTCAGCTGCGTGCCCACCGTGCCCATCCTGGCGCTGGCCTCTTGGCCAAGCAGCACCTGTCCCCATCAGCCCACGTCTAACACGTCTTTGGGTGGCCCTCCCTGGCCACACAGCGTGGGCTCCCCACAGGGCCGGGCAGAGGTCTTTCTGCAGAACCCTGGTGGGCAGGTGCTTGGTGCTCTGCCGAGGAAACAAGCAGTAACCGTTAGGCGCCCTGGCCTCTCAGCTCCCTGGCGGCTTGCCTGCTGCAGACCCCGGGCCCCTGCCTCCCAGCTCCTTGAGTAGCAGCCTATGTGCCCGTTGGCCTGGCTCCCCACTCCCAGGTGCCGGCCCCTGGCCAGCCAAGAGCTGTGAGCCTGCAGAACAGTGTTCCAGACGCTTCTGGAGCAAGGGAGGTGTCGGCAAGGCCTGCTAGGGACGGTCCCCTCAGTGCGTGAAGCAGGATCCATGACGTTGGATGCACTGGGCGAGGGGAGATGCGGGGCCGTCACCTGCCAGGTGGGTGTGAGCTGAGGGGAGACGGGTCAGGGTAGCACAGAGTCCTGTCCCCACCTTCTTGGCTGGAGGGACAATTAGACACAGTCCTCACACCGGGGTCATGGGTGGGGGCTGCCCCATGGGTGTCCCATGCCGTGAGGGGCCCTGGCTGGAGGGATTGGGCCGAGCCCCCGCAGTCTCATCCTCGTGAGGGGGAAGCGGGCTGTTTGCGGAGTTATCATTGCTTTTATGTCTCTGTGCTTGGTTTGCCGTGGTGCAATTAGAAATTTCATTGGTGCTGCATAGTATAGCATTTAGGGGGCTAAATACAGTCACGTTAAACTGCTACAGGACAATCCAGCCGGGGATTTCGTGGCAGTGCACCCAGCCCAGTGGTCCTCCTGGGGAGGGGAGCAGAGGTCGGGGGCCTGGCCACTGCGGAGGGTGCTGGGCTCTCACTTGTGGCGTGTGCATCCCTGCTGGTGGTGGGAGCTGGCGGCCGCCAGAGCTGAGCTGGGTGGTGGGTGGTGCTAAGGCCACGGATCCTGGACAGTTATGGCGGCCTCTCTGTGCCTCAGTTTCTTCATTTGATGCTGGGGTAGTCACAGCAACAACTTCACAGGTCACGCGTGTGCGTGCGGACGTCTGTCAAGCGTTGAGCAGAGCGCCTGGTGCAGACCCAGCGCTCTGCAGTGAACTTGAAGAACAGGGAGCACGCTGCCCACCCTGCCCCCGCGCAGGGGCTCCTGGCACCTTCACTCGGGGCGGGCTGCCTCGGGCACTGTGCCCCTCAGATCCTCAGCCCAGCAAGACAGCCACACTGCTGCCTGCCTTGGTGGCCTTGGGCAGGATGTCTCCAGCTTCTCTGAGCTGCAGCGCTGACGCCTCACGGTGGACGAGGAGTGGGGTCCTGGTGGCCCAAGCGCATGTGTTGGGGGCAGTAATGGGGCTAGCGAGGGCCCCTTCCGTCCTTCCGTCAGGGCTCTGCGGGGCAGGCAGCACTGGGTGTTGCTGTGGGACCCTGAAGCTGGCCAGGCGCCACCCACAGGGTCCACATCGCCCTGGAGAGCCCTGGGGTGGCTGGCTGGGCGCCATGGCCCCGTCCTCCCCTGGCAAGGCCAGCCAACACCGTCCCAGGCGTGGGTGCTTTTCGCATCCTCTTAGGGCACCAGGTGAGGGGTTGGCGCTCACCTGCAGAGGCTGGGCCCGGCCCCACGGGGCCCCGCGGGAACTGACTGTTCCCTCCCAGGTGAGCGTGGCAGATCCCAGGCTGGGGGCCCATGGCACAGAGTCGTTTGTGAAGCCCGGGATGTCTGGAGGGCTCAGTGCCCCCGGGGTGAGACACTGTTCTCTAAAATGTTCCTTTGGCAACATTTGTGAGCCCCGCCTGGGGCTGAGCAAGGGCAGGACAGACGGTGGACCAGAACCCGTCCTGCGCGGTGTGACTGCAGGCGGGGCCTGGGGAAGGGGCCAGTAGAAATTTCTGTGTCTTTGAAAGCAGAGAAATGCCAGGGCAGGTGTACAGAAAACACGGCAAATCAGAGCAGTTTGCTGCTGCCAAATGCAAAGGTGTGGTGACCGGAGAGGGTGGCGTGGCCTGTGAGGCCGGTCAGGCCCAGGCAAGGGTCTGCCCCGCACCCTCCCCGGTCCCCACCGGGCGTTTTGCTGGGCTTGCCTCTCCCTCCGTCCCTCCTGTCCTGCTTGCCAGACGAGTCCCAGCTTGGTGCAGGTGCCGGGGTTCCTGGGAAGTTACCCCTTATCTGTTCGTGCTTCCGATCCAAACGCTACAAAAGCTCCTTCCTTCCTGGCTGCAGCGTTTGCCACGGCCGGGCTGGGAGGGGTTCCTGTGCCTTTAGCAGGTGGGGTCCAGACCGCCCGGGTGGTGGCCCCCCAGCTCCTGGGTGGTCGGGGGGCTGGAGGCCTCCCCGTCGTCAGGGCGCGGGAGGCCCTGTGGTCCTGCAGCAGCAGAGTTGGACGACGGGTGACCGGAAGTGCTGCGGGCCCTCGGAGACAGCAGGGCCAGTGCGTCAGCAGAGCTGCCATGTCACGGCGCCTCACCCATCATTGTCATCCGTGTCCTCACCGGAGGAGCAGTGAGGTTTCCTCCCCAGGGACACCATGGCCCTGAGCGGGGGCAGCCCTTTGGCATGGCCCTGTGTGGGGGAGGAGGGGCCCCAGGCCCCTGTCCTCGGCTTTCACTGCCTGTGTCCCTTCACTGTCCCCTCCGGGAGGACTCCATGCCCTGGGGGCTGTCCTCACTGGCACCGCATCTTCTGGAACCTAAACATGTCTGTCTCCCTGCTGCGCTGGTCCTGCAGCCAGGCTGGCATACAGCAGGTGCTCACTGCTGGCTTGTTGAATGCAGACGCCCTGGGGGCTGCACACGGGCTCAGTCTGCGCTCACTCTTAAGGATTTGGGGTGGGGCGAGGGGCTGACAGGGACCAAGAGAGGCCAGCAGGAGCACAGGTGGCCTGCCGGTGTCCCGGGGTCTGGGGTCTGAGAAGTGAGCCACGGGGAGGGTCTTTGTCCCAGAGCAGTGGCCATGTCCAGTCCCCTCAGGCCCTCGGGCACGTGGGGGGCACTTCCCATGGGGTGTTGCTGGGGGACACTTGCTGTGGGGTGTGGGGTGTCACCAGTGACACTTGCTGTGGGGCACATCTGTGGGGTGTCACCTACCAGCACCTACCACCTGGGGGGTGCTTCCCATGGGGTGTCCCTGCGTCCCTGGCCCCCAGCCCAGGCGCTGGGTGTGGAATGGGCCTCCAGGGCTGAGGACTGGGCCGTGCTCTGCGGGCTGGGCCGGGGGGACGCACCGTCACCTTGTGGGGCCACCCACACGAGCCGTCTCGCCTGTCCATCTCCTCCTCCCGCCCTCAGAGGTGGCTTCCCAAGGAGGGCCCCTTCCCTCGGGTGAGGCCCCAGCCTGAGGGCCTGCTTGGGCCTGCTTGGGACAGCCCTGGTAGGTGCTGTCCCAGGCTGGGGGCCCCGCCCTGAGCGTGGCATGGTCCTGTGGGGTGTCCACCCCAGTTAACTGTTTTCCCATCATCTCTCCGCAGAAGGACATGGCCCTGAAGCCACACGAGCGGAAGGAGAAGTGGGAACGTCGCCTCGTCAAGAAGCCCCGGGAGTCGGAAAACTGCCCCCCTGCCGAGGCGAGCGAGCACAGGCGGCCCCTGGAGCCAGGCAGCCCCGGGCAGGACTTGGAGCCCACCTGCGACGGGGGCCCGAGGAAGGTCCCGCTGCAGCCCTCCAAGCAGGTGAGCGCGGGTCCCGCCCCCTCGGGAGCTCCGCAGCAGGGTCTGCGCTGGGTGCGGCGGCAGCCCAGGGCCACCCAGCACCTGGACACCACCCGCGGCGGCACCTGGGCCTGCCTGGCAGTGCGCTCCATCGCTGTCGGGCTCGGGCTGCGGGGCACACGTGGACGGGGCTGGGTCACAGGGAGGCAGCGACTGGCCCAGGGCCACGGCCGGGCAGGGAGGAGTGTACGTACGCCGGGCGGTGCCACACTGATAGGCCGGCCCCGTTTCCCCTCTGCGTCTGCCAGGCTCCGCCGACGACCCGGTGTCCAGTGGTGTCCAGCGTGTCTGTTGGCAGCGTGGGGACCAGGTTCATTGCTGAGCGCTCTCCTGCTGCGCACACAGCGCCTTCTGCTCATGTGCGCGGCGTAGGGGAGGGGAGCGGTCAGCCCCGGTGGTCGCCGCAGGCACGTGACTTGTGGTTGGTGGTCCGGGTGCACGGCACAGCCGGGAAACAGGGCTCCGCCTGCCCGTCTGGGGTCGGAGCAGGTGGAAGCTGGCCCAGGGCTTCTCCCAGCCTGGGGCTCTGTCCTGGGCCAGGAACCCGCCTGAGGCTGCTTCCTCCTGGGGGTCCGCTGGCCTGCGCCTTCTTTTCAGAAAGGGGTTCTGTTTGGTGTGTTGGGCTCCACTGTTGGCTCCCTGGGGACTCGGGCTGCTAGAGAGGGGCAGCATGTCTCCCGGGCCTGGGCTGGATGGGGGGTCCGCAGGCGCACCTGCCCAGGTGGACACGTGCTCTTTCTTCCATGCAGGTGTGCTCCCCAGAAGGGGGGCCGCTCCCAGCCAGCCACCGGGACCAGAACGGCCCGGCCCAGCGCCAGCAGCAGCTCCAGCCCAGCCAGCCCAGCCAGCCCCAGGGGCCCCCCCCAGCCCCGTCGGCACTCCCGGACCCCGGGCAGCCCTGCCAGCCCCGCCAGCCCCAGCGGCCACCCCCGGGTCAGCGCACCTGGCCCCAGCGGTCACTTCTGGGCCTGAGACAGCCCTGCCAGCCCCGGCGGTTACTTCCGGGCCCCCGTCAGCCCTGCAGACCCCAACAGCTGCCTCCAGCCCCAGATCAGCAGTGTCGGCCCCGACAGTCACGCCGGGCTCAGCCCTGCCAGCCGCGTGGGGCGCTCCCAGGCCTCAGGCAGTGCTGCCGGCGCCTGCGCTCCCTGCTGGCCCCGCGGTCCCTCCTGGCCCCCTGCCTCCATTGCCGGCGGCGCCTGCGCTCCCTGCTGGCCCCGCGGTCCCTCCTGGCCCCCTGCCTCCACTGCCGGCGCCTACGCTCCCTGCTGGCCCCAGGGCACCGCTGCCGGTGTCTGCGGTCACTGCTGACCCTGTGGCACCGCTGCCGGCCCCGGCGGCCATGGGCCAGCCCCTGTCACGGTAGCCAGCCCAGTGGGGCTTCCTCAGGACAGCGCTGCCGGCCCCTGTGGTCCCTGCTAGCCCAGTGCCCGCGGTGCCAGCCCCCACGGCCACTCCTGCCCCTGCGACCACGCCGCCGGCCTGCCAGCTTCCTCCCGCGCCCGTGCTGCTGCTTCCGGCGGGCATTCCTAGCCCCGTGTCAGTATGGCCAGCCCCGAAGGTCCCTCTTAGGCCAGCCCAGCCGCCCCCGGCGGTCCCTCCTGGGCCTCAGACAGCCTCAGCAATTAGTTGAAGCCCCAGAGCAGCCTGGCCCACCCAAGCCCTCGCTGCTGGGCCCGGGACAGCCCTGCCAACAGAAGCGGCCACTCATGGGCCCGGAGCAGCCTCGCCCACCCAAGCGGCCACTCATGGGCCCGGAGCAGTCCTGCCAGCCCCTGCGGCCACTCATGGGCCCAAACCAGTCCTGTCAGCCCCAGCCGTTACTCCCCATCCCCGACCGCCCTTCTCTCCTGGGGCAGCCAAGCCTGCCCTGCCGGCCTCTCCTGGGGCCCCCGTGCCAGCCTCGGCGGTCCCTGTTGGACTTGGTGCCAGCCCCTCAGCCCCAGCTGCTGGCCCTGGGCCGTCCCTGCCGGCCCCTGAGATCGCGGTGGACCCGCTCCTCCGCCCCCTGGGCGGCCCGCCAGGCCCCATCTGTGAGCCCTGGAGCCTGACGCCTGCGGGCGCTTGCTTGGTGTTGCAGGCACCCCGTGCAGGCTGCGTGCTGGCAGGGCCCCAGGCCAGGCCGCTTCCCTGCATGCCTGAGATGCTTTGCTGGACTGGCCCGAGGCCTCCAGACAGGGCCAGGCGTCACTGTGGAGACTGAGGCTCAGGCGGGGCTAGGGGCCCCACAGTGCCTGGATCAGGCGAGGCCCCCGCAGCAGGAGGAGAGGAGATGCCCAGCACCGTGCGCCCTCCCCCACCGGTGTCCCAGTGCCCCCGCCCGAGGGCCACTTGTGGCGTGCACGCCCCGGGGAGGGAGCACAGCCGCCCTCTGCTCGGAGCTGGCTGGGGGTCCCTCAGCGTCTTTCCCGGCCTCTGAGTTGCCGTGCACACCTGTCCCGGGAGTCCCACCTGTGCAGGGTGCGTGCGTGTGGGTGGGGTGTGTGTGGTTGTGTGCGGGTTGTGTGGTGTGCCTGGGCGGGAGTGCTTTTGTTGGGGGGGTGCCCCCCGCAGGTCTTGCTTCTTGGGCCCCCCGACCCGTCTGGCCACAGTGTGTCCCCTGCCCCAGCGGAACGGCCTAGTGGCGAGTTGGCCGAGGTGTGGGTTTGGCTAGAGGCCAGGCTCCGGTCCCCGGCGTCCCCTGCCCGGGTCCTTAAGCTGCAGGAGGGCTGTCTGGTGGATCAGGAGTGCTGGTGAGCGGAGGCTCCCACCCCCCGTGGGTACACGGAACGGGGCTGTCAGGGTGTCCAGACCAGGGAGAGCCCCCACAGCACCGTCTGGCTGTGGCCCCGGTCGACAGACCCCACACTGCAGGGCTGTCTCTGGGCCCCCACCTGTGGTCAGGCAGCCCCACACGCAGGGCTCCTGCAGCCCCGGGCACCAGCCTCTGGCCCGGTGAGGGAGGCGTTCCCCGAGGAGGAGGAGCCGGGAGGGGGCAGAGGAGCTCTGACTGTCCAGAGCCAGCAGCTCTGCAGGGGCAGCCGTTTCTGGAGAGCAGCACTGGCCACGTGGGCTCCCCAGGCTGAGGGCGGTGGGAGGAGGCTCCCGGCTGCAGACCCAAGCCGACCCCCAGCCCCTGCCCGCTGCTCCTGAGGACCCGCCCCAGGGCAGGCCCCTTCCATGGTGCTCCCCTGGGGCCTCCATCCCAAAAACGCAGGGCTTATTTTTCTGATTAAAGAAAATAAAAAGTGCCATGCCACTATTTTTTATAACAGCATTAGTGTTTGTAATGTAAGTAGATGAGTGTGTGTCTTACCTGATTTATTCTGACAAATGGTTCTTATGCAAGTGGATTTCGCTCTTGTTTCGTTAGATTCCGACTGAACAGGGGGACCTGGATGTTTGCTCTGGCCCGGGGAGAGGGGGATGGGGGCAGTTAGCCCCCAGGGTGGGTGCCTGGGTGACCTGCACCCCAGATAGGCCTTCCTGCGAAGGCTGAATTCAGACCAAGCCGAACCCGCCCCTCTCGGGTCAGCCTTGAAAAAGCCTCGCCAGCGGTGGGTCTCAGCCCCGTGGTGCCTGTCAGGAGGCCAGGGAGCCTAGGTCTGGGTCCTAGCCGTGGGTTTGGGGACAGTTCCTATCTTGCTGTCACTCACAAGGGGGCTGAAACCACCTCCTGACATCCCTGCTGAGCACTGAGGGTAGGAATGGTTTAAACTGCCCTGGCTGTTTCCAGCCTGTCCCTCCTTGGGGCGGGGGACTGGAGGGGCCTTGTCCCGAGCGCAGGCCAGGACAGCTGCGGGAGCCATGCGGCTGGCCAGGGGCAGAGGCCATTTGGGCCTGGAGCCTTTTGTGCCAGGAGGGTCACTAGTGGGCAGCCACCTGGGCTGGGTCCCCATGGCTAGGAGCTGGGGGCACAGTGGACACCTGCTGAGGAAGCCACCAGGCCCCTTGGGGACCCAGAGAGGCTCCAAAGCCTGGCCGTGACACCTGGTGGGGCCCGTCCACGCTGGCCTCAGGTTCAAGGTGCTGCTCTGGGGAGGGCAGAGCCGCCAGGACCCCGAGGGGCCATTGGTGCCTCTGGGAGACGCAGACCCCGTGAGGCTGGCGCTTTGCCGTTCCTGAGCAGCTGGAAACGCGGGTCCTTCTGTGGATTCAGAGGTTTTGAGACGTTGGTGGCCAGTTCTGACTTCATGACCCGCCCTGCTGACAAGGGACATGGCTGGGGCGGGATTCGGGCTCAGTGGGGTGGGCCTGCCCCAAGGTGGGGACGGGTGGCCGAGCGGGCCAGCCTGGAGGTCAGGGGCCCAGGGGAGGCCACTGCCTGCGAAATCCTGCTGCCACCTCAGGGACCCTCTGGAGATGGGACCTGAAGGGACTTCGGTGCAGGGGACCTTTGGCCGGGGCAGCACCTGCTCCCGCCAGGCCCTGACTGGCAGCCATGCCTGGGGCTGTCTTCACGGTGGAGAAGGGGGTGCTCAGGACGGTTCCCCGGAAGATGACTCGAGACAATCTGCTGTGCCCGTGGCTGGCGGTGCAGACCCAGCTATGGGGCCTGGGGCTGTGGGTGCCCCTGTGGAGGGAGGGCGTGAGCGTGGGTGACCTCCCTCTGCACCTCCTGAGCCCGGCTGGCCCACCGTCACACCCCCACGTCCTGCCCTCGGTGTTGGAAACGCCACCTGGGGACGAAGAGGCTGCCTGGACCCTCCCGAGTCACTCTCATGAGCACCTGCCTGCGCCCGGTGCCAGGCTGGCACAGAGGGTGCCTGGGTGAAGGACGCGGAGCCCCCGCTCTAGCAGGAGAGGCAGGCCAGGAGCGGACGGCGCCACCCGGTGCGCTCGCATGTCAGAGATTCTCCTAGGGCGGAGCCGCAGAGACGGGGGCGCCCGTCACACGGAAGGGCCACACCCGAGGTGACCAGGGGCTGGCCCAGAGGCCGGAGGGAAGGTCTCCGCAGGCCTGGGGCCTTGGAGGAACCTGG